AAAAAAAATATTTGTTTCCTATTGAAATGCATTGCTATACTACTATTGGCTATTTCAATTTGCAATAGCCATTAGTAAACTAGCATTGTACCCGCCACTAAGTATTTCTCTGCCTTCTACCCTCAAATATACATGGCTAATGCTTCATCAGAAAAGAGGGGTATTCTAATTGGTTTTAAAAGGTACACAAGGTTTTCTTGCTCTCTGGAGATCCCAGTTATTTGTTGCTGATTGGGCATATTAGGGGTTGCAAAATGTGTTTTAACTCATTAATACCCATCTGCGCGGTACTTTGTTGCTTTGTGGGGACTCAAATTTTGTGGTTAATCCTACTCTTGATAGACAATCCTTGTCAGCCCAAAGTTCCTCTTCACCCTCGGATACTTATTCATGGACTTTTCGCAAGCTCCTTTCTCAGCATTCCCTGGTGGTTTGTTGGAGGGAAGTCCACCCCTCTAGGAAAGATTATAATTATTTTTCTCACCCTCGTAATAGCTTTCAAGGATCAACCACATTGTTATACATCAAATGCTAACTTCTTACTTGGTTTCAAGTGCTATCCTACTGATCTCATGGTCTGATCATGGTGCAGTTACTGTCCCTAAATGACTCTCTTCTTAGTGATATCACTCAGCCTAATTGTGGAATGCAAAGGCAGTCATTTGTGGAAAGCGTATTCATCTTGACACTCTGAAAAAGAGGAAGAGAATAAAATGTTTAAAAGTTGGTGACAAATTTTTTTAAGGATCTTTCTCTTCCCCGTATTTTACATACCCTTAGACAGACCCTAGAAGCTTGTATCTCATCCTCAGAACTACAATTGGTAATCAAGTCAATCAAACACAATAAATGCCCAGGTCCAGGTGGTTTACATGGCTATGTATTATATAAAAAGTTTGCGGACATTTTGGTCTCATATTTAACTTTATTGTTTAATGATCTGTTGCAAGGTGAATGCTTTGGTTCAAGCACGCTTACGGCAGCAATCTCCATGATCCCAAAACCTCATTCTGATTTGACGAACTGGTCTAATTTCCGCCCTATCTCTATATTGCCAAAAGTATTGGGACACCCATCCAAATCATTGGATTCAGGTGTTCCATGAAATTTCCTTGCTACTAAATATTCCACGATCAACTGTTAGTGGTATTATAACAAAGTGGAAGCAACTGGGAACAACAGCAACTCGGCCACAAAGTGGTAGGCCACGTAAAATGACAGAGCAGGGGCAGCGCATGCTTAAGCGCAAAGTGCCCAGAAGTCGCCAACTGTCTGCAGAGTCAATAGCTACAGACCTCCAAACTTTGTCTGGCCTTCAGATAGGCACAACAACAGTGCATAGAGAGCTTCATGGAATGGGTTTCCATGGCCGAGCAACTGCATCCAAACCTTACATCACCAAGTGTAATGCAAAGCGTCGGATGCAGTGGTGTAAAGCACACCACCACTGGACTTTAGAGAAGTGGAGACATGTTCTCTAGAGTGACGAATCACGCTTCTCTGTCTGGCAATCCGATGAATGTGTCTGGGTTTGGCGGTTGCTAGGAGAACGGTACTTGCCTGACTGCATTGTGCCAAGTGTAAAGTTTAGTGGAGGGGAGTTTATAGTGTGGGGTTGTTTTTCAGGGGTTGCGCTTGGCCCGTTAGTTCCACTGAAGGGAACTCTTAAGGCATCAGCATACCAAGACTTTTTGGACAATTTCATGCTCCCAACTTTGTGGGAACAGTTTGGGGATGGCCCCTTCCTGTTCCAACATGACTGCACACCAGTGCACAAAGCAAGGTCCATAAAGACATGGATGAGCGAGTTTGGGGTGGAGGAACTTGACTGGCCTGCACAGAGTCCTGACCTCAACCCAACAGAACACCTTTGGGATGAGTTAGAGCAGAGAATGCAAGCCAGGCCTTCTCATCCAACATCGGTACCTGACCTCACAAATGCGCTTCTGGAAGAATGGTCAAACATTCCCATAGACACACCTTGTGGACATTCTTCCCAGAAGAGTTGAAGCTGTTATAGCGGCAAAGAGTGGGCCAACTTAATATTAAACCCTATGGACTAAGACTAGAATGCCATTAAAGTTCATGTGCGTGTAAAGGCAGGCGTCCCAATACTTTTGGCAATATAGTGTAGATGTTAAAATTCTCGTAAAAGTGCTCGCCAATAGACTGACTCAAGTATTACTGATATCATTAGTAAGGACCAGGTCGGCTTTATGCCCCATAGACAACCAAGTGATAGTGTGTGTCACCTCCTTCGTATAATTCACATAGCTAAATGAGATAGAATCACTAGCTTATTGCTCTCTCTTAATATTAGTAAGACTTTTGATACTTTTGGGTGACCTTATTTTTTTGTACTTTCGAAAAATGACCCTCATTTTATTTCATCGATACATGCACGCTACGCAGACCCAAAAGCATATGTTCAATATATGGGGCTTCCTTCCTGTAATTTTTTTAATTTGGGAGGCACGAGGCAGGGCTGCCCTATGTCCTCGATTTTATTTGCTTTAGCCCTCAAAGCCCTAGCGATACCTGTTAAAAAGGTAAGGAAAGAAAAGTGGGGCTTTAATTGCACCAAGCGACAAGTCCAATGAGTCACAAGTATTTAAATAGAAATATATTATTTTATTGAATGCAAAATATAAAAACGGCCATGATTAAAAATTATAAGTACATCATAATAGAAAAAAACCTCCAACAACCACTCAGTTCCATGATTAGGGCGTATAACACATGATTGTAAGATTCAATAGCATGTTGAAAATAGTAATAATGGTAATGGTAGGTACTAGGGATGTCCCGATACCACTTTTTCAGGACCAAGTACAAGTACAAGTACTTCCCCTCATGTACTTGCCGATACCAATTACTGATACTTTTTTTTAAAGGGACAGGCGACTTTAAATGATCCATAGTACAACTACATGTTATGTACTATGGATCATGATTTTACCTATTCATGTTAGCAGGGGAGAATTGTAAATCTATTCCTGTAGTGTAGTGGAGGTGTGTATATAAATGTACTACATATATACATTACACACGTCTAGTACACTATAGCAATAGATTTACAGCCAGCCCTGTCCCAGCTTCACTCACTCACAGTTTCACTCCGATCCCTGTTGCCTCACGCGGTGCCTCTCGTAGTCGGCGCTGGACAGGATCGCTGCATCACGTCTCGGTGCTCAGCTTGTGGGAGGCGCTCACAATTCTGCCCTGCTAACATGAATAGGTTAAATCATGATCCATAGTACATATACACCACACATGTCCCATACACTGCAATAATAGAGTTACAATTATCCTCTGCTAACATGAATAGGTTAAATCATGATCTATAGTACATAATAGTACATAACATGTAGTTGTGCTACGGATCATTTAACCCCTTCCGATTAGCAGTGCAGAATTGTAAATCTACTGCTGCAGTGCATTCTATATGTACTGTATATGTGCTATATATAGAATGCACTGCAGTAGATTTACAATTCTGACCTGCTAACATGAATGGGTTAAATGATCCATAGTAAAACTACATGTTATGCACTATCATGTACTATGGATCATTTAACCCCTTGATGTTAGCAGTGCATAATTGTAAATCTACTGCAGTGCATTCTATATGTAGCACATATATAGTACATATAGAATGCACTGCAGATGTAGATACTTTTTTGTGTGAATAAGAAGAAAGCCGTCTTACTCACTGTTGCCTCGATCGCTGTGCCTCAGGACGTCGGCGGCGCTGAGCTGGAGAGGAGCGTCGCGTCACTGCTGCTTCGGTGGAAGACGCTCCAGGTGGGGTCCTAATTTAGGTGGCCGGCAACTGCCAGGAGTGCCGCCCACCAGAGCAGCAGTGACGCGACCCTCGGCACGGTGAGTAAAAAAAAAAACAGTGCAAGCTTTGGCGCTTTGTATCAGGGCATTTTGCCAAGTACAAGTACTTGGCAAAATGCCCTGTATCGATCCCGATACCGATTTTACCTTCGGTATCGGGACATCCCTAGTAGTAACATATACTAGTCAAACAGTGATGTAGTGCTATAAATAGATCGAAATTTCATGCATAAAGCCTTATCTGGAGCCAATAGAGTGGATGATATTCAATTTTCTACGTGTTTCGCGCATCTAGCGCTTCATCAGGAAATGGAGGTAATCCAATGCGGAGCCAGTGAATACACGCACGCCGTGACAGCCCAAGCAGTGAGGTAGGCACCACCAGGTGATGAGAAATGGAAGCCAAGGCAATAGCGACTGTATTAGGGGGGGATTTTTTCAAATAGTGGAGAAGGGACAAGTACCTCAGAATTCCATCTAGTCCATCCACTGTGTTACAGTCACAGAGCAGGGAAGAAGAAAGCTATAGCGGCACCTAACAGTCGACCCCGCCACCATTCCACATAGACGCCGCCAGTTTGTGCAGGACTGTCTCCAGCCGCACACTGAAAAGACGGTCCTGCACACACTGGCGGCGTCTATGTGGAATGGTGGCGGGGGCGACTGTGAGGTGCCGTTATAGCTCTCTCCTCCCCTGCTGTGTGACTGTAACACAGTGGATGGACTAGATGGAATTCTGAGGTACTTGTCCCTTCTCCAATATAAGACAAAAAAAACCCTCATACAGTTGCTATTGCCTCGGCTTCCATTTCTCATCACCCCCCAGGTGCCTACCTCTCCGCTTGGGCTGTCACGTCATGCGTGTATTCACTTGCTCCACATTGGATTACCTCCATTTCCTGTTGAAGTGCTAGATGCGCAACACGCGTAGAACATTGAATATCATCCACTCTATTGGCTCCAGATAAGGCTTTATACATGAAATTTGGATTCATTTATATCACTATTTATCATGTTTGACTAGTATATGTACCTACCATTACCATTATTACTATTTTCAACATGCTATTGAATCTTCCAATCATGTATTATATGCCCTAATCATGGAACTGAGTGGGTGTTGGAGATTTTGCTCTATTATGATGTACTATTTGTATTTTTAATCATGGCCGTTTTTATATTTTGTATTCAATAAAATAATATATTTCTATTTAAATAATTGTGACTCATTGGACTTGTCGCTTGGTGCCATTAAAGCCCCACTTTTCTTTCCTTACTTTTTTGACCAATATAGGGGTGTGGCACCAAACACTCAGGATCTGTTCACCAAAACCTTTCTGTCACTTGTAGCGATACCTGTTAGATGAAATCCTGATATTTGTGGCTTGGTGGTGGCTGACCATGAACAGAAGCTTAGTATATATGCAAACAATACTGCTCTTTTCTTAATGAACAAACAAAACTCTTTCAGCTGAATTTGAGGTTGTTTCGGGTCTCACCATTAACCAAGCTAAGTCTAAGACTCTGAATATCAATTTGCTTCCGGAGTTGGCTTTGTCTTTATGGTCCACCTTTCCGTTCCAATGGGAAAATAAATATATTTATTACCTAGGGATTCATCTCACCCCATCTTTTTATACTTTGTACTCAGCTAATATATCCACTCTGTTTAGGCCAGTCAGGATCACTCTGGAATCTTGGAAACGTTATCAGATTTTAAGGTTAGGAAGAATTGAGGCAATTAAGATTACCATTTTGCGCAAACTGTTGTATCCCTTTAGGATACTGCCTATCGAGATCCCTTCTCACATTCTACAACTTCTTTTTCTGCAATTTATATAGGGTAACTCTAGACCATGGGTTCCTGGGAGCCTGCTCTTTCAACTTAAGAATAAAGGTGGCCCCAGATAACTTGCTATTACTATGTGTCGCAACTTGCCTCCCTCCTGTCTTATCATAGAATTTCTGGCACTCCCTTGTGGGTTAGCTTGGAGGCAGCTGAAATAGATCCCATAGCAATTGACACCCTTTTATTGGTTCACCTTACCCATAGAAAGCACATAGATAATCATAATTTATGGTACTCCCTTAAAATCTGGGATAAGGTTAAACACTCGAGTAAGCTCTTGACCCCACATTTTCCTCTAGGCACTATAGTACGTAACCCCTCCCCCCCCCCCCCCCCCGGTCTTGGCGCCCAGAAGACTT